TCCCCCCCCCCCCCCCCACCGATCCCTGCTCCTTTGAACGCCAACGCGGCAGCGTCGCCTTGAGCCGCCAGCTGCAGTTTCGCTTAAGCTATGGTGAGATTATTTTTATCACTTTAAAACTGTGGGTACTCAAACTTACTCTCTTGTTCCTGGCAAAACCAGCGTGTCGTTCGCAGCCCGTGGCTTGGAGCTTAGCAGCAAATCTGCGGAGCCTGGTGCTAGGCGCCGAGCGGCTGACACAAGCTCGGGCGGCACATCTGTGCTTCAAGAACAGGAACTGCTTTCAGAAGTAACGGTTGCATGGGAGCGTGGGCCTCATCCAGATCCCGCTGAAGCCTAGGAGAGGTTTTCCATTCTGGGAAGACTCTAACTAAGGGATTGGAATGAGTGACAGAGAACCACCCAGTGGTGCTTCTAGGTATTGCAAGTTACAGGAGATTCTTTTCGTGTTAGTCCAGGACTAACTCTCTCTGTGCAACTCCTACGCAGGGCCGGCGCTTCCATTTAGGCGACCTAGGCGGGCGCCTAGGGCACCAGGATTTGTGGGGGGCGGCAATTCGGCGGCGGGGGGTCCTTCCGCACTCCGGCCGGGTCTTCGGCGGCAATTCTGCAGCGGGTCCTTCACTCGCTCCGGGACCCACCGCCGAAGTGCCCTGAAGACCGGGAGCGCGGAAGGACCCCCCCCCCCGCCGCAGAATTGACGACAACGACTGGGAGTGCGGAAGGACCCCCGCCTAGGGCGCCAAAAACCCTGGCGCCGCTCCTGCTCCTATGGTAGCTTGACCTTAAAGGAACATATGGGCCTGACAAAAAAGCGTGCAAAGATTTAACATACCTGTTCCATTGGCGGGTGAAATATTCACCCCTGCACAGAGGACCAGCACAGAACCTATGCCCTGCTTAAGGCCTATTTTGAGGAGTTACGTAGTGCATATTCCTCATGCTGGCCCTCTGTATGGGGTTTTTCACCTGCGAGAGTTGCTCCAAACTCCAGCACCTTAGCTATACCCTGATTAGAGCTGGGCGAGCCCTACAGAAACAGCGCTCATGCACATTCATTCTAAATCCAAACCGATATTGGCCATATTTGCAGCCCTGATTTCCACATGTAGGCCATGAGGTCAGTGTGTTACAAAGCCCCC